TGCCAGCTCTCGACGACGCCGGGCCGTGGGCAGCCGCGCTTGAGGAAAAGAGAGGTGGGGACCGGAGCCCGAGGTTCCACACCGCCCCCTCCTGCGGGGACCAGTGCAGATTCTGGTTTCAGGACACGACGCTACTGGCACAGCCCCTTGGAGCTTGCCTGAGCCTTTTGCTGCCTCAGTTTGCCCGTTGGCCCTCGTGGTCGCAGGTTTCCGGCAGCTCCTGTTCCCGCCCGGCGCAGTGTGGGCCCCGCAGCCTGAGACCCCACTGGGGCGACCGTGGAGACGGGGCAGGGACCTTGGGTTCGGCTCCCGTGCCCCCTCAGGTTGCGGGGTCCTCCCGCCGCCAGGGGCCGCTCCCGCGCCCGCACAGCCCGCGGAGAAAGATGGCAGCGGCACGCGGTCCCGCCAAGCCCCGCCGCGAGGCTGCGAGGCCAGTGTTAAGGGCCGCAAGGAGGACTCGGAGCAATCGCTGTCAGTGGCCTTGGCTGGCCGCTTGCCACGGAGCTTACCTGCATGAGAGGTCGGGCAGGGTTGCTACCCCAATGCGCCTTCTGCTGCCCGGTAGACAGGGGCGGACAAGGCTGCTGGCCGCAGTTTCCCAGAGCACCCACTGTCCCAGGGCCGGCGTCTTGAAACCTTTCTGTGGCTTGACTTTGTGGCATTACTAATGTTACCGGCAACCCGACCCAGGGCCCCTGCCTGTTTTCTGGCTGGTTGGATTCGGCTGCAGCCCGCATAAGAAAGAGGCAAAAACAAAGGAAAAGTGAACTTTATGCAGTTTGACTAAACTGGAAAGAAACAGCTAGATTGCTTCTCTAGCCCGTGACACTGAAGCCGCCACAACTTACAGAAACAAAAGCCAGGTGATATGCATATGTAGATTTAGTTGTCCTGAAGAGAGGCAAAATACACATATATTTAGTGAGCCTGTGCTCCATAGGCCAAGCAGGAGTCTCCCTCTCAGCTTCTTTGGCACCTTTTAGAGTGAGGGTTGCAGCCTTCCCTTTCCATTCTCCTCCAAGAAGTTCCTCTTAATTCAGCAGGTCCTTAATTCAGTCTGTTTCACTAACGTCTGGCCCTCCAAGAATACCAAGGGCAAGTCCTCAGGGAAAGAATTATTCCATCTCACCAGCAAGCAAATCTCTGAGCACCCAAACCTCATTCTGCAAAAGGGAGCTAAGGCCTAAAAGTTTGAGGTGACATTCAGGGGAACAAAGTTAGTGCAGGAGCATTGCCTCCTGCAGGTGTGCCCTGCACAGAGCAGGTCTAAAAGTGACAGCCACTTGTGAGTGGAACCTCAGCTGTGCTGGGGTCCCTGTGGACCTCTGCAAAGAGGCTGGGGCTTTCTGGGTCCCAGCGACTCATTTGGCTTTGCTTGAAACCAGGCTGGAGGCTGTTTCACAAAACACAGCCCTAAACAGCATGTTCCCACACTGTGGCAGGAATAGAACTGGTGGCTCCAGATTGGGCCCACACACTTGTCAGGGAACAGAACAGCTCCCTGCCTGCCGCCTGGCAGGGAAGCAAGGAGCTGCCCAGCCCCCATTTTCCTGGCTGGCTGGATGCACCCACACTGTATTTGGTTTTCTCTGTCAGCCCTCTGGCTCACCTCTAAAGGAACCTGTGTTTTCCTGGCACTGTGGGCCTGAGAATTCCCTTATAGGTGTGAGAACCCTCCACAACTACATGTGTCCACACCTGTCATCCAAGGGAGCTGTTTGATACAAGAAAGGTGAAGCCCTCCCAGACACTAGGAGCAGGCTTCTTGGCTACAGAGTACTATCTGGGAGCCAGCCCTGAGGACCATATTCTGCCCAGGACAATCTGTGGGCTGAGTTGCAGGAAACTATCACAAGATCAGTAGTTAGGTGTTGAGGATGAGCTGACTACATGGAGAAGGCAATCTGGAAGGAAAGAAAACTAATATGGTGATATGTTGTTAAGAAAAGGAAATTTAAGGCTGGTTACAATGGCACATGTTTGTAATCTCAGGGACTCAGGAAGCTGAGGCAGGAGGATCACAAGTTCAAGGTCAGCCTCAGCAACTTTAGCAAGACATTGTCTAAAAAACTTTTAAAAGTTTTTTAAAACTTTTAAAAGGGCTGGAATGCAGCCCAGTGATAGTGGTAGAATGCCCCTGGGTTCAATCCCTAGTACCAAAAAAACAAAACAAGGGAACTTAAGACTCCATGAAAAAATGAACTGGGTAGGGGTTAGGAGAAGGGCTGGAAACAGATGTGATGGAAGCTTCTCACTTGCATTTCAGGTCCTCAACCCCTAACTTCACCTCAGCTCCTGTAAATGCTCAAGGGAAGAAATATAAATGTTTTCTTTAAACTGGTGTTAAAATTTCTCAGGAAGTGGAAAGTAAGGGTGTTTGACAGTTCAGAGCAAGCTCAGGGAAAAGGGAGGGGCACTTCCTTAATCTGACATTTGCAGTGCTTGGGCCAGAGTCTTCACCAGAAAGGACCAGCAAGGCAGAAAGCACTGTGCTGGGCATGCACAAACACATGCAAATGAACGTGCACATGTCTGTGAAGCACCACAAAGGAGACCAAGGTTGGAATCATCCTTTTGCTCCCATTCACTGGCTGACAAGAACGACAGGGCCAGGAGCAAATGCCTATAACCCAAGCAACTTGGAAGGCTGAGGCAGGAGGATCACAAGTGTTTGGAGTCCAGTCTGGGTAACTTAGTGAGAGAGACCTTGTCTCAAAATAAAAAGAGCTGGGATATAGCTCAGTGGTAAAATACCCCTGGGTTTGATCCCCAGTAGTGAAAAAAAGAAAAATGACAGGAGTGGGCAGGTCTTGTTCTAAGGTTTCTTGCTCTTTGGACATTAGTACCCATGGTAGGGAGACTCCACAAGTCAGGTTACAAGACAAAACCCTCCACCCTTTCCTGCCAAAGGTGAGCATCTTCTGCCCAGACCCTCAGTGGCCCAGAAAAGGTCCTGCAGAGGGCTAGTCTTTAGCACACAGACCTTTCCAGCTCCAGGTGGTTTGATGGCCACAAGCAAAAATTAATAGTCTTAAAATTGGGGGTATTTAAGAGACTATCTCTTATGGGTTTTAAAAGAAACTGGTCTATCTACCTAGTGAAAGGTGTCCCTTCTATGCTCCCACAATCACTTGTAGGCCCATTTTTGGTTAGAATGGTCCGGGTGAAATGAGGAGAGCCTGAGCCTGGCCATCCTTGGAAGCACAATATAGCTTCTGCGAGCTTGCAAACACTAAGCCATTCTCTAAAAGGTTCTCTGAAAATTTTAATTTGTTCTGACAACGAAACTAACACAGCATAAGGATTTTAAGCCTTCAGGCAAGGCAAGACATTATGGCCCTTGGAAGAAGCACCAGGGCAGCTGGCAGGTGTTAAGATGGATACTTGGGAAAGGAAAGAGCTGCACAGATGAACTATGGGAAGGTTTAGGAGTCAAGGTCAAAGAGATTAGTGGAATAAGGATGGACTGCCCCAACTTTATTAACTTGATGCTTAAAAAGACAGACCCTTCCCTTCAGTTATTAAGGAGAGGCTTCAGAGCAAGGGAAGCAAACTGCTAATGACTTGCCCCTTTATGGACCAATAGGATCTGAGAGCAGAGGAAAAGAATACAATCAGGCTGGCAAGAGAACAAGTGATGGGAAGAGGAGGTGACAGTTCCCTAAGTTGATGAGTCAAACCCTGGACTTCAGCCTCAAGGCCAGAGAAGCTTTTCTTTCTTTTGAGGATGTTGCTTGAGTTCGTAGGACAGGACGTGTCAGCTTTCTGACCCTTCCCAATCCCTGGTGCCTGGGATTCCCTTGTTTCAAAAGCAGTGCAAAAATCTCTCCTGGATGCCCTTCCAATCAGTCCACAGCCTGCTCTGCTGACAGAAGGTCCTTTCTACCCAGTCTGCACCCACGAGGGTGGGAATGTGCCAGACCTCAAGGGCTCCTGGGCCTTGCATGCCCTAGGTTGGAGAACGTGCATAGTCTGCAGAGGCTCAGAATTCCCAGTCGTCCACCTCCAGCTCTTCCAGGTTTGTCACCAGGCCAAAAATTCCACTATGATCTTGAGACTGGCTGCCCTCAAAATTGGTGATGGGAGTGACAGGACGAAGTAATTCAGGCAAAGCCTCTGAGGCACGTCGCTTGATCTGGGGAGAAGAGAATTGGGTGATGGATCCTGCTGTTCAGGCCCCAGGATAACACAGAGCAGGAATAATGGCCCAGTGACAGATGGCCTGTCATAGCCAAAATATGATAGAGAGGAAGGAGCAGTGCCTTTTAGTGGCTTCAGAAACTTGGTCATTTCTCTAGTTCAAAAGGAATAGTAGAGAATTCCTGAACACCCCACAGCTAAAGGAATAATGGGCAGTAGAACAATAGGCCAGAAAAAAAACAGGAACTGAGGCAGTGCTACTGTACCTGCTTGAAGAAGGAGTGGCTCAGGAGGGCGCTGGCACTTGGCCTGGAGAAGAAGGTGAAGAGATCCACATCACCCATGCCCAGCTCCACCTCCTGTTGCTGACATCCTATCCTCAGGTACCTCTACTTCTTCCCTCAGCTCACCAAAAATGACAGCCAGAACTATCCAGGCTGGCTTTTTAGCAAATTCATGAGCTGATCTCTCTTACTGTTTTGCCCCTCATTTTTCCCGGGAGCCCAAACCCATACAGATTCTTTTACTTTAATGTTTCAGAACTTTTATTTTTATGTGGTGCTAAGGATTGAATCCAGTGTCCCACACGTGCCAGGCAAGCATTCTGCCACTGAGCTACAGCCCCAGCCCCCTTATAGATTCTATGAGAGGTACATCTTTTAAAAGTCTTGCCCCAACTCTGGAGCTCCCTCTGCTACCCCAAAGCCTGGCTCCAAGGCCAGAGGGATACCTTTCATCCGGGTTGCGCTGAAGGCACTGCTCCACAAAATGATGAAAGTGGGGGGAGAAGGTTCGTTGGTAGGGATGGGAAGGTGAGTCACCATTGGAGGGCCGGGGGTTGCTGGTGGTCAGGCTCTCACTCAGGCCAGGGTTGGCCAAAGAGCGTGAAGGGCTCATGTTCAATTCCTCAGCAGGGATGGTACTGGTGTCCAACAGGCAGGGCACTGTGCCATTCAGCTTCTCCAGCAGCATCTGGGAAGGACAGAGCCAGGGCCTGGGCTGGAGGGGGCCTTGGAAGACCTAGGAGTCTCTTCATAAATAAACTCTTCCCCATAAGCAAATGATCTTTTGGGAACAGAGAAAAGACGGAAGTGGAATAAGTCTAACTTTTCCAAAGGAATGCTGGCCACTGACTCAGCAGCTCC